CTTGGGTGTTTTGTTATTTTATAAGGTGTGATTGCTGCTTGCCTTTTTGGCAGTGTTACTGACTCTTCTCCTGTAATATAGGGAGACAAAGATTCTTCTAAAAGCAGAAAGGAGGCTATGTAACAGCCAAACAACAGCACTTTGGTACAAAACAAAAACAAAATCAGAATCAGAAGCAAAAACAAAAATGGAAGAAAGGAAAAAATGAAAGGAAAAAAAGAATATATAAAATAAATCCAGATGAAAATAATGCAGCACCAGAAAAAACAAGACTAAATACAGCAGTCCTTTAATCACAAAAAAGGGAGAGTGGGGTGGAGAAGAAAAAGAGGAAGAAGAAAGAAAAATAAATAAAACAAAAATAATAAAAAAAAATAAAAATCTGTAGTTTAATATAAGTATGCCTTTAATGTCCTAATGCTCTTTCAGTCACTTCTGCCCTCCTCTCCCTACTGGTAGGTGCTGTTGAGTCAATTCCGATCCGTAGCGACCCTGTATCCGGTTTCCCAGGAGTGGCTGGTGAGCTTGAACCACTGACCTTGCAGTTCAAAAGTATTTTCCATGTGGAGCCTTAACCCACAGCGCTACGCCAGGACCCCTCTCAAACCAGTGAAAAAAGGCAGACCAAATGGGACGCACATCCGTATCTCACGTATAGGGTTCCCGCAGAGCGTCTGGTTAGCTTGAACCACTGACCTTGCAGTTCAAAAGGCTTTACAGCGTCGCTGTGCTATGCCGGGATGTCTCTCAAACCAGTGAAAATAAGCCGATTAAATAGGACGCACATCCGTGTCTCCCGTATAGGGTTTTCCAATGAGCAGCTTGTTAGCTTGAAGCACCGACCTTGCAGTTCAAAAGGCGCCTTAACCCACAGCGCTATGCCGGGACGCCTCTCAAATTGGTGAAAAAAAAAAAGCCAACCAAATACGACGCACATCCGCGTCTCCCGTTTAGTGTTTCCGAGGAGCAGCTGGTGAGCCCGAACCACCGATCCTGCAGTTCAAAAGGCCCTGCAGTGGTGCCTTAACCCTCAGCTCTACGCCGGGACACCTCGCAAACCAGTGAAAAAAAGCTGACCAAATAGGGCGCACATCCTCCTCTCCTGTATAGGGTTTCTGAGGAGCGCCTAGTGAGCTTGGACCACTGACCTTGCAGTTCAAAAGGCTCTGCAGTTGTACCTTATCTCACAGTGCTATGCCGGACGCCTCTCAAACCAGTGAAAAAAGGCCGACCAAATAGGACACACATCCGCGTCTCCTGTATAGGGTTTCTGAGGAGCGGCTGGTGAGCTTGAACTGCTGACCCTGCAGTTCAAAAGGCCCTGCAGTGGTGCCTTAGCCCACAGCACTACACCCAGACGTCTTGCAAACCAGTGAAAAAAGTTGACCAAATAGTACCTCATCCGCGTCTCTCATATAGGGTTTTTGAGGAGTGGCTGGTAAGCTTGAACCACTGACCTTGCAGTTCAAAAGAATCTGCAGTGCGGCACCTTAACCCACAGTGTTGTGCCAGGTTCCCTCTCAAATGAGTGTAAAAAGGGAGACCAAATCCATGTCTCAGCTTGGGCTTTGTGTGTGAGTTCCTGGCAGAGGAAACCGTCAGCGGTGAGGGTGGGTCGTGGCCACTCGGATAAGCCCCTACCTCTGTTCACCCGAATGGAGGTGGGCAAACCGTGAGCACACCTATTACCCGACACCAAAGAAAAAAATAAAATTGGAACCACACAAAATTGGCAATGTATACTGTGCACCTTTTTTTACCCCAAAGTTCCCGCGGCCTGTTTCCGTCGCGTCTCTGCGGCCACCATTTCATCCCGCTGCTTGGTCTCGCCCAGGATGTGGGCTCAGGCCTCTGAGCCTGCCCGGCAGATTCAAAAGTACTCGATTTTCCCACCTCAGTTTCAAATTCCACAGACTATAAGGCTTCGTACCTTTAAATTATTCTTATCTCTGTGGTTTTGAGTTTTGGAGCTCTGTCTTGCCTCTTTTTTGCCTGGAATTCTAAGTTATTGCTGATGGCAACCTTCACTACATCTTCACCCTAGCCGCCATCAAGCCCCGCCCCCGCCAAATCTTTCAGTGCACCTTGGACTTTCTCCAGTACCATTGGCTCTTGATCATATGCTACCTCTGGAAAGGTTGAACATTAACCATTTCCTTTGGTATAGTGATTCAGTGTATTCCTTCCATCTTCTCTTGATGCTTCCTGCATCATTCAGTAATTTGCCCAGAGAATCTTTCAATAATGAAAGTCGAGGCTTGAATTCTTTCTTCAGTTCCACCAGCTTGAGAAATGCTGAGCTTGTTCTTCCTTTTTGGTTTTCCTTAATACAGATCTATGAACATTTTGTTGTAATATTTGGCTTTATATTCTTGAGCTGATGTTTGTAATTTTCTGTTTAGCTCGTGGACCGCCTCATTTTTTTCCATTTGCTTTAGCATCTCTACTCTTGAGAGCAAATTTCATTGTCTCTTTTGACATCTATTTTGACCTTTTCCTTCTTTCTTGTATTCTCAATGATATTTTGCTTTCTTCATGTGTGATGTTTTTTGTGTCATCCCACAACTCTTCTGGTCTTCGGTCTTTCGTGTTTAATGTATCAAATCTGTTCTTCAGATGATCTCTAAATTCAGGTGTGATATATTCAAGGTCGTATTTTGGCTCTTGTGGACTTGTTTTCATTTTCATCAGATTCAGTTTGAATTTACATATGATAATTATGTGTTCCACAGTCTGCCACTGGCCTTGTTTTCTCTTATGATATGGAGCTTTTCCATCATCTCTTTCTGCAGATGTGTTCAATTTGATTTTTGTGTATTCAATCTGGTGAGGTCCATGTGTATAGTCATCTCTTATGCTGTCTAAAGAAGGTATTTGAAATGAACAAATCAATTGGGTTTGCAGAATTCTATCATGCGTTCTCCAGCATCATTTCTGTCATCAATGCTAGTTTACAACTACTGATCCTTCCTCTTTGCTCCCAACCTTTGCATCCCAATCACCAGTAAGGAGCAATACATCTTAATTGCATGTTTGATCAATTTGGGATTGAAGAAGTTAGTAGAATTCTTCCATTTCATCCTCATAGGCTTTACTGGTTGCTGTGTAAATTTGAATAATAGTGGTATTAACTGCGCTTCTCTGTAGGCGCATGGATATTATTCTAGAACATACAGTGTTGTACCTCATGACTGATCTGAATATGTTCTTTTTGATGATGAATGCAACACTAATCCTCTTCAGTATGTCATTCCCGTCATAGTAAACCATGTGGTTGTCAGATTCAAAATGGCCAATACCAGTCTATTTCAGCTCACTAATATCTAAGATATTGATGTTTATGCATTCCATTTCATTTTTGACAACTTTGAATTTTCCCAGATTCATACATCGTGCATTCTATGTTCTGATTTTTAACAGATACTCTTAAGTGATCTTTCTACTCCACAGTAAGCTCTTTATATCCTAATCAACAAGAAGGTAAACTAATGATTCAAATAATTTAAATTTTCTCTGATTTTATTGGGTAACAGGTTCAGAGGTTTAACAATATCTAGAAAAATCTCAGCTTATGCATATAATTTGAAAGTAACCTTTTTTTTGTAGAAGTAATGTTTCTTAACTGTTTTTAAATATATATGTTGCAGTCAAGTTGATTCCAACTCATCGAGTTTTCATGTCTGTAATCTTTATCAAAACAAATTGCTAGACTTCTTCCACAGCATCATTGGGTGGGTTCAGGTCACCAGTCTTTAAATTAGTAGTACAGCACAAACCATTTGTGCTATCCAGAGACCTGTCCTTTAAGTATAAAAGGGAAAAGTACTAATTTTCACTCAAATTCTTTTTCTCTATCATGTATCTTTTTGTAGCCATTTGAATCATTTTGTATTTGGCGTGGCACTGTAGGATAAGCACTGGAATGTTAACTGTAAGTTTGGCAGTTCGAGCCCACCAGCCATCCCTGGGAAAAAGATGAGGCTTTTGCTCCTATAAAGATTTATAGCCTCAGAAACACTATACAGGGTCACTATGAGTCAGAATTGACTCACTGGCAGTGAGTTTTAAGTTTTCTCCAAACAAAAAGCAATAATGAACATACTTTAACATTTGTTTGCCTTTGAGAATTTTACACATATAATCCTTTTTAAAAACCATGGAAAAAGTATTTGCTATAAGGAGCTCTGGTAGCGTAGTGGTTACGAATCGGGCTGCGAACCTTAAGGTCAGCGGTTCGAAACTACCAGCCGCTCCGCGGGAGAAAGATGAGGCTTTCTACTCCCGTAAAGATTTACACCCTCGGAAACCCTGTACAGGGTCGCTATGGGTCGGACCCGACTCGATGGCACTCAACAACAACAACAAACATATCCATTTTCCAGGAAAATAATGATAAACCTCAGAAAAATAGGGGCAAAGTCATGGCTTTATTAACATGATTTTTTTTTCATCATAATTGTCTTTTTCATGTGTCTTCCTCCCATAAAACCTCCTTAATGCTGTATTTTTAATATTTATTATTAAAATAATACAGAAATAAGATAAATTCTGTAAATTCCTTTTTACCTCTTTCTAAAAGAAACATTTGTTGACAACAGTGAAATATATTGTAAGCCCAAATTATATTTATGTTGGGTTCATTTGTCTATGTCTCTCATAGTGAGCAAACTTCAGTCTTTCCTATTTATCATGTTTTGTTGATGTTATATGGTTTTCTTCTTCTTTTTGTTCTTGCCAACACAGCAAGACTTCCTTTAGTTTTGTTCCATGCAAATTTTTTATGTAATCTTATTTCTTAGTTTAAATATTAAAACCAAGATAGAAAAGAGATAAGAAAAAAACTTTGAAAAAGAATTTTAAATTCCTAGCTGAAAAATGAGGTATAGTTGTAAATATTTTTTTAATAAAAGCTTTACTACTGCCTTAAACATACTTAAGTATGCATCATCATTTACCCTTTACATGTATGCTTTATATTAGAGCCTTATTTCTTTTTCTAGGTTCGCCAAGCAGCTTTTCAGTCTCTGGGACCTTTCATATCTACTTTTGCTAATCCATCTAGCTCAGGCCAGTATTTTAAAGAAGAAAGCAAAAGTTCCGAAGATGACTCATCAATAGAAGGCAAAAATAGGTATAATTTTAGAAACTGTTTTCAAATTTTACAACTTGTGGAATGTTTAAATTTCCAGTATTTTAAAATAAATTTTCTTTTTTTAGAATTTTTCTTGAAGCTAAAAGCTGGTAAATATTTTTATAAAGTTTTAATTTAAGCACATTTGGTTGCTTATATCTATTTGGTTACTTACCTCGGAGATGAGAAGGTGCATTTAGCGCTTATTTTACTGCCTGGCACATAGAGCACGATAGATATTGTTAAGTGCCATCAAGTCAGTTCTGAGTCATAGCAACCCTGTATGGGGTTTTCAAGGAGTGGTTGGTGAGTTTGAACCACCAACCTTGTGGTTTTTGTGTACTTATTCTACAGCGCCACACCGGTCACTTCTTAAGTAAATTTATTTAGTAAGTTATTTAGCTTGTTGGTATTGGAGTGTATGGGGTAATGACTTTACAATATAAAGGGTATTTTTGTTTGTTTGTTAAGGAGTAAAACCAAATTTAGGAATAGTAATCTTTGCTTTGAGTCCTGGTGTGGGGCTGTCATTATAAACACTGGACTGTTAACTGAAAGAAAGCTCAGTGGTTCAAACCCACCAGCCACTTCTTGGAAGCCCTATATAAGGTTGCTGTGATTCAGACCAGACCTGACAGCACTTAGCAATAAAGTTTGCTTTAGTATATAGTCCATTTCTGTTATTTTTGTTTTCAGTCAATTAATTTAATTACATATTTTGGAGTCTGTGTCTAAAAAGGATTGTAGCCCTTTAATTGAGGGGGAAAGTGTTTTAATGACTAGCATCACATTAGAATGCTTATTAATGAGTATTGATTTTCAGTGTCTTAACCTAATTGCTGTTAAGTGCTATTGAGTCAGTTCCCACTCATAGTGACCAAGGAGCACCTGGTAGGTTTGAACTGCCGATCTTGCGGTTTGCAGTCCAGTGTAGGTCCTACAGCCCCACATAAAATTTTCTAATAATGCTTAAAGAAGACAATTCTGGCTTTCTTTAAAAGATTTTTCAATTGAAAAATTTATTAAAATTTTCCTTTTTAAAATTCATTGCAGTTTATACGTAGGAAAACACTATTCAAACCTAACTTAGTACATGGGATATATGAGGGTAAGTCAAAAACAATTGCTACTAGGGTTCCAGTTCATACATGCACAGGTTTATTCCAAACAAAACTTGCTTAAACATGTCTCTGCTGTTGGTAGATGACTATAGACAAGTTTTCTCGGTAACACATTTCTCTTAGTCTTGTTACAGGGCCTTCGAAAAAAAAGGCAGTGGCTTCTGAAGGGATCTGTTGGACTGGTTAAATTCAAAACATAGAAGTTATGGGCAACCCAACTGCTTTTGAGGATCCCAAGGGGGTAATCTTGTTAGATTTTCTGTAAGGAGACAGAGCAATCCCGGAGGCTTTACAGAGAACTTTTCAAGGAAATTGAAAACTGCCTTGATGAGTAAAAAGGCCAGGAAAGTTGTATCAAGGCGTGTTTTTTCCATCACAACAATTCACCTGCTCACTCTTTGAGGATAGCAAGAGTTGTCCTAGGAGAATTTCGTTGGGAACCCTTACCCCATCTACTCTACAGACCTGATCTTGTCCCATCAGATTTCATCTTGTTCTCCAAACTTAAAGAACATTGCAGAGGACCACAATTTGAGTCCTTCGGGGCTGCCCAAACTGACATTTTGACATGTTGTAAATCAAAGAGCTCCGAATTCTTGGTAAAATTGTTAGAGAAATGGAAACACTACTTTCAGTAACATATAGATCTAGATGGATAATATATCACAAAACAGTAGTTCACAGTTTTTTATATATTTTTATTTGATAAAGGTTTCTATGATTTTCCATAAATTCTTTGTTTTCCTCATATACACAAATTTTTAGAGTCATGTACTTGGAAAAATTTAGTACATGTTTTTTTGTTTTGATTTTTAAACTTTCTGTTGTGAACTGAATGAAGGTTTATAGAACAGATCATCAGTTTTACATTCAACAAATCATATGCATTGTTTCATTACAGTGGTTATTCTCTCAATTGCCATTACTTAACGATATTTACCTGTATTTCCTTTAACTCTTGTACTCCTTATGTCTCCTGCTACCTTCATCTTTTTTCTGCCAACCTCCCTTTTGTATTGCCGGCTCTGTCACCCATGTTAATTAACCTAGTGCTCTGGTAACATAGTGGTTACGAGTCGGACTGCTAACCTCAAGATTAGCAGTTCAAAATTACCAACTGTTCCATGGGCGAAAGAGGAAGCTTTCTGGTCTCCTAAAGATTTACAGCGTTGGAAACCTTACACAATGTTGCTGAGTTGGAACTGACTCCACAGTATATAACCACCCCTACCACCACCACCATAATTGGAGTCATAGTGTGATGCTGTATGATAAACCCTTGCCCTCAAGGTCAGTGGTTCAAATTTACCATCTGCTTCTTGGAAACCCTGTACCCTATGAATCATGAGTCAAAACCAACTCAATGGCACTTAATAATGACCATAATACTTGAGTTCCTATAGTGTCTTCTATTTGTTGTTCTTAAGTGCTGTCGAGTCTATTCCGACTCATAGCGACCCTGTATAGTGTTTCCAAAGAGCAGCTGGTGAACTCAAACCACCGATCTTGTAGTTCAAACAACTTTGCTGTCTGATGCATTAGCCCACAGCACCACACCAGGACTCCATTTTCTTCTATAGGTCTTAATAATTGGTATTTGCTTTGTTGGTGTTTTAATTTGGCAATTCTTCATATTCTCTGTTTCCTTGTGTTACTTTTTTGCCTGTTCTCCTGCTGCCTTTCATAGACAGACAAACCTTGGTGGTGGTGGTGGTTATGTCCAGTAGGTACTGTTTTTTGTAAAGGATGAAAAATCACTTGAAACGTGTTTTCCTCTTAAGCAGAAAGCTATTTTCTTTCGAAAACAGTTGCTGTGACAAGTTTGACAAAAATGATGGTAGAGGAAATGTCTGTTTTCATTTTTTAAGGCCCTATGCCTTTTTGCTCTATTTAAGTCTACTGAAGATTGTTACATCATTTATTTTTAAATCAGGAAAAGATCTTGTAAATGAAATATAAATTTATAGAGAATTTTATAGGGGTCAGCAGACGTTTCTGTAAAGGGCCAGATAGTAATTTCAGATTTACAACTGTAAAGTCTCTGTTGCAACTACTCAATTTCTATCTTTGCAGCACAAAAGCAGCCATAGGTAATACATAGCCAGACATTTGGGAGGGCTGTTCACATTATTGGAATTGCTGTTTAAAAGCAATTATCCTTTGTTACAAGATTGGCAATTCAAATTCACCAGCCACTCCACGGAAACTCTATATAGGGTTGGTATGTGTCAGAACCAACTCGATGGCACTCCACCAGCACTACAACCACTATCCTTTGCTACAAATGTCAGTTTTGCTGTTGTTAGATATGCCTTAATAACTAGTGAAGCGTGTTGTTGCATTGGATTTTTATTCTCTCGCTAGGCTTAATTGGATTATGTTAATAATGTCAAGTGCAGGAAAATAGAGTTCCTGACTAAGGGAGGAAGAGTGTTAAATATTTTAAGAGCTTTTGTATAGTTTAACATATTTTCTTCCAAAAGAGTACCATAATTTTTATACTTTGGAATGCAAATGTTATACAGGTCTTACAAACCATGCATGGCTTGGGAACATAATATGAGTTAAAATTAACAGCACTGCCTTATATTCCTAAATCTAATTGTTATTAAATGCTTGCTTTTCCAAACTTTAAAATGGCACTGATTTATGTTTTTAGCTGCATATTTATTTTACTTAAGATTTACAATAAATCTTATTATGTACAAATTGAGAACCTATTAAAAACAAAATACTGTAATGAAGGTATAGGACTTGATTCCTCTTTTCAAAATCGTCTGTGTCCTAGATTCAGATTTTACAAGCATATATCTTACAAAAGAAGCAAGGTAACAGTCGATATAGTACAGCTATTATTATTATTATTTATATGATGTCTTCTTATATTTTGGAAGTATTTTTGTCACTTAAAAATCAGTATTTTTTGTATTTAGACAGACAGTAAGTACTACGTTGTTCTCTGAATGCACTGGATTTCTTTGTTCTCCCAGCTTTTGTACTTGTTGCTTTCTCTTTCGAAGTCATCATGTTCAAACCCTACCCTCATTTAATGAAGTGATTGTCTGTCTACAGGTAGTAAGAAATCTTTCCCCACATTTCCAGGAAATGTAGAACTTCATGTCATTGTTGTCCATAGCACTGGGATTGGATTGCTAATTTGTAATCATCTTTTTTGTTTGTTTATATCAAATTTTACTGATTACAGCTTCTGTCACAGAATTTTTGCTTTTTTGGCCAGCTCTAAAGTTGTTTTTTCTTTTTTTCAGTTGCATTTATTTTGTTGCTGAAGATGATTATATACATAGCAAAACATATACACATTTAACAATTTGGGCATGTGTACTTTCAGTTATGCTACCATTTTCATCTTCCTTTTATGAGTTTTTCTTGTCTATAAACTCTGGTAGCGTAGTGGTTACGAATCAGGCTGCGAACATTAATGTCAGCAGTTCGAAACTACCAGCCGCTCCGCGGGAGAAAGATGAGGCTTTCTGCTCCCGTAAAGATTTACAGCCTCGGAAACCCTGTACAGGGTCGCTATGGGTTGGAACCGACTCGACAGCACTTAACAACAACAACAAACTCACTACCTTCTAAGATTTTTTTTGAGTTACTCTTGTCACTTTGATCCCTTATGTTGTTTTACGTGCCATCTAGTTGGTTCCAACTTATAGCAACCCTATATAGGGTTTCCAAGGAGCAGCTGGTGGGTTTGAACTGCTAACCTTGTCTTTGTACTAGCACGTTCAGTGAATACATAGTTGGGTACATAATAAATCTTCCGTGAATTAATCTAAGAAAATATAGATTTACTACCTAAAATTTTACTAGTTTTTGTCAGTACAGGCTAATACCAACTATGTGAGAGTTAAATTGACT